TAGATAGATAGATAGATAGATAGATAGATAGATAGATAGATAGATAGATAGATAGATAGATAGATAGATAGGTGACAGACAGACAGACATGGATGGATGGATGGATAGATAGATAGGCAGATAGGTAGATAGGTAGATAGGTAGATAGATAGGGATGGATGGATAAATTGGATGGATGGATGGATGGATGGATGGATGGATGGATGGATGGATGGATAAATAGATGAGAGACACAGAGAGAGTGGGGGGGGATTTGAAGAAGACACAATGTTATGCGGTTCATCGGTGGACACAGGTGGCTCTGCACAGAATCTAGCTTATGGGGGCACTGAAAATCCATTGTTGTAGTAACTGTGGGTGTTATTCTATGATGCCACTCATGGTTTTCTATCAGTTTTAGTAGCGCCTGTCCTCAAAGCCTGCAGAGGTTTCATAGCATAGAGCTTGCCAGCAGGTTCTGTCCCTTGGGTGGATGTCACAGGGTTTCTTTCACAGTGTCTTCCTAGCGCTTGTTGTGGTCCACCTCACGGTCACTTTCCTAGATTCCAGAACACTGAGCAACGGTGGTCGTCCATTCTGATGACATGTCCATCCATTTCATCTGGGTTCTGATAATCAGGATGTCATGCCAGACTTGCACTCAATGATCTTTCTTTCTGCAGCCCCCAGTACCTGCTGGATAAGAATTCCTGGATAGAAGAGCAACCAGATCCTCGGCGTTGTAAAGCCACCCAGTATCGCAACACTTGCCAGGAGCTTCAGTCTTTCACTACCTCCTTTGGTATCAACGGCTGCCGCATCTGAGCCAAATAACCCCTTGCGCCTTTGACTACTCTGACGCACCAGGAACTGCACCTCTTTTATGGAATACCCCCTGACTGAAAACCTCCTCTTGATCGCTGTGTTGTGAGTCACTTAAAGCTTTGTGATCAGAGGATCTGAAGACTAAAGAAGAGTCTGACAGCATCAAAGCAGAATAACAGAGTTGGGAGGGACCATGGAGGTCTTCTAGTCCAACCCCCTGCTCAAGCAGGAGACCCTATAGTACCATGCCAGACAAATGGCTGTCCAGTCTCTTCTTAAAAACCTCCAGTGTTGGAGCATTCACAACTTCTGCAGGCAGGTTGTTCCACTGATTAATTGTTCTGTCAGGAAATTTCTCCTTAGTTCTAGGTTGGTTTTCTCCTTGGTTAGTTTTCATCTGTTGTTTCTTGTCTTGCTTTGGAAAATAGCTTGACTCCCTCTTCTTTGTGGCAGCCCCTCAGATCTTGGAACACTGCTGTCATGTCACCCCCAGTCCTTCTTTTCACTAAACTAGACATACCCAATTCCTGCAACCGTTCTTCGTATGTTTTAGCCTCCAACCCCCTGATCATCTTTGTTGCTCATCTTTGCGCTCCTCAACACCTTTTTTATATTGTGGCAACCAGAACTGGATGCAGTATTCCAAATCTGGTCTAACCAAGACGTTCGGTAAGGCAGACTGAAGTAATTTTTAACAGAAAACAGCCAGAAATTAAATTACCTCTAAGTTGGGATGTCTTGTAGAGTTTGGCTCGATGTGACAACCATTCCTTTGAAAGTGTTTCATTCTCTTCAAAATGGTTGTTACTACAGAATCATTTCTGTTCTGAGGTGAGTGAATTTCAGGGTATTTTTTTCCCCCTCGCCAAAGCCCTGTTTCACACCATTTGCTGCATTGATTATTTATAATCAGAAGTGCTTTCCATCTGAGAACGAATTCTTTTCTGAAGTCCACCTTTTCTTGGGGAAAAAAGTAACCAAAGCAAATGAGGGTCTCTGGTTGCTAAAAATGAGGATGCCTCCCCCCTTTCCTTGTCCCTTAATTTTGGATTTCCCAAGGACTTATCACTATGCATTCAACTTTCTCTTTGGCAGGACAGACGTTCAAATGTTTACCATCCAACAGTCTTTTTTGTCTGTTTCTGAAAAACCTGAAATTTTGGTAAGTCCTAATCAAATTAAAAAAAAAAACTGTATACAAATTCCCAGGGTTTGCAATTTCACAAACTAAAATTTTCAGTCCTCTCCCTGGGCAGCACCTATCTCTGAATAGTCTAACACACACACGCACCCCACAAAAAACAACAACTCTTGAGCTATCCTTTCAGTAATCTGCTTAGCCATGCTGGTTAGGACTTAGGAATTCATAATCCAATGTATCTAGATTACTTTTGACCAAATAGGAATGTCTGACAATGAGTTGGCACTGTTTTGCACTATTTTTTTCATGCAATAAAATGGTTTACGTTCATTTTGTTTTCTCTTGCCGTTTGTTAATTCTTGATTCTGCTAAGGACTCAGTTCTGATACTTCTGTAATGGCAGCTGTCTTGTATCTCAAGGCTGAAAAGGTAGAGATGGAAGGGAAATTTTGTCCAAGATTGTCTCCAGATTTGTGTTTCCTGAACCGATAGGCTAGCTTAGGGATAGGCAACCTTGGCTCTTTTATGACCGTGGACT